GGACCAGCAGCTGTAATTCGAGTCCCAGAACCAGCAGCTTAAAACTCATGCTGGGCTCATGTGCATGCGTGCCCAAAATCCCTAGAGGAGAATTGAGGAGAAAGGACTGTGGCTTGGCCATCCCCGTGGTGGGTAATTTTTTTATTTCTGTCTCTCCAAAGAGTGCATGCACCTTATAGCAAAAATCTCTTTAAAAAAATCCTGTTATCTTTGCAACGAGCTATCTTTTTAAAATTTCCTATTCCCTAGCTTTGCCCCCCAAAAAGAACTAGATCCCTTGAGACTCAGGGCAGTGAGTGTTCGTGGTGCCCAGGGTACTGGTCTCTAAACGCCATTCCCCATTTAGATGAATCTGGGCCCCTGGGAGCAATGGCCAGTTCTAGGTCTGGGGTAGTTATTGTGCACAATAAGCCCAGACCTATCAGGCCCCATGACCGGGACCATGTTTAGGAGCCACAAGGGCTTCTCACTGGTTAAGCAGAGGATCATTTGAGTCTGAAAAAAGGATAACCGCAATGGAGCTAAACAGGCACAATATTTAAAATCCACTAGTTCTGAATGATACTGGAAATAAAAACCATCACCTTGGAAGGTTGCTATGGCAACAACTCCATTGCTTTCAAAATCGGTAAGTCAAGGCAATGAATCGAGTGTTTTATCTAATTTCCCTTCTAGAGCATATCTTAAGGCTACCAAATAATAAAACCCAAACTGATAAATGCAGACGGCATAACAGAATTAGAAAATGATAATTTTCGACAACTAATTAATCAGGGGCTGTAAGATAAGTTTCTAAGGTCGGGTGGGTCTGCTGACAATCTGAGTGTCACACAAACAGGGACCAACAGGCAGGAACTACACAACATCCCTGATGAAGGGCGTTTGGCAAAAATTGAATCCGAATCTGACCAAGCTTTCAGATGAAACTACCAATTTAGAACTACAGGGAGCAGTGAGTATTCACACATCACATGACACAACCGAGCAATGCCAGACTGTAGAAAGATTTGCAGGACAAACAACCTTTTTTTTAAAGAATTATTTATTTATTTATTTATTTTTTAAAGAGAGATTTTTGCTGTAGGGTGTGTGTGCTCATTGGAGAGACAGAGTGAGAGAAAGCGAGAAATCACTCCCCAGGGGTCATGGCCACACTGCAATCCTTTCTCGTCTACTCTCCTCCCAAGATCTTGGGCACACGCGAACGTGCTCCCGGTGTGAGTTTCAGGCCACTGCGTCCAGGACTTGCACTGCAGACAACTACGTGGGGGGGTCCAGCAATGTAATCCTTCAACCAGCTGCTAATCTCAGAATTACTTATTTATTTATTTTTAAATTTTGCTATAGGACGGATGCACTCACAAGAAAGATTGAGAGAGAGAGAGAAAGGGAAAAAGCAAGCCGCCAGGTCTGGGACTCAAACCACAGTCAGTCATGTGGGAGTCCAGGATCTTAACCACCATACCACCTTCCGGCCCAGGTTTTTTTAACAAATAAATTTCTAGAAGACAAAAAGATCAACAAGGACATCTTGTTATTGATTAAGAGGTTTGAGACCCAGCAATGAGGTAGAATGTGTGGGGCTTGCTTAGATTCTAAATCAAAACAAACCAATAAAGAATCTGTAAGAGGGACCAGCAGATAGTGTAATCATTACGTTGCTGGACTCCCACACGGTTGACCGCAGTTCAAGTCATGGACCCAGCAGCTTGAAACACATAGGGCGTGTGTGTGTGTGTGTGTGTGTGTGTGTGTGTGTGCCCAAAATCCTGAGAATGGAGGAGAAGAGATTGCGGCATGGTCATCCCTCTGGGGGGTGGAGGGGTGTTTTCTTGCTTTCTGGCGTGCCTATAGCAAAAATCTCTCTCTTAAAAAAAAAGAAAAAAAAAGAATTTATAAGATAGGCATGGAATTGGCATACTGATAATGTTGATATGATATAAAATATACATACGATATTGGTATTGACATGATATTAAAAGAATTATTCATTATCAAGGTACGATAATATCCTTTATCATGATAGATACATAGGGACAGATTATACTATCTTTTCTATTTTTCCATATGTCTGTAAATATCCATAACAAAAAGTTTTTCTGAAAATGCTTCAGATAAAAAGAATTAGCTAGGAACCAGCAGTTGGCATAATGGCTATGTCGCTGGACTCCCATGTAGTTGGTCATGTTATAAGTCCCGGACCCGGTGACTTAAACTCACGCCGGGCGTGTATGTGTGTGTGTGCCCAAGATCCCGAGAGGAGAATGGAATAGAAGGGATTGTGGCGTGACCATTCCCCCTGGGGGGTGATTTCTCGCTTTCTGTCTCTCTGTTTCTCTCTGTCTTTCTGGTGAGTACACCTGCCCTATAGCAAAAACCTCTCCAGAAAGAAAATTAGCTAAAAAACACAATGAACACAATATTTATGATAAAATGTTAACTGTCCCATCTTAAGTCATGGGACTGTGGATGCTTATAGTTTCTATATATTTGAAAAATTCATCGTAATAAACACAATTTTAGAAGCTCTTATACCCAGCAAGAATCAAGACTGGGTTGGATTAATCATGTAGCTACAGACACCTAAGGCGGCATTTACCAGTAATGTCCTCAGAAGGAGAGGATGGAGGTGCAAACGCCTGAGCTACAAAACTAAGGAAGTGACAAGAGAGACCTAGAAACAGAGATCCCAGCTGACGAGACAGTGACCAGGCTTACTACACTCATGACATGAAGACTCCCAACTCGGAGTGGATCAAGAGCACATTCAGATGGGGGGAGGGGCGTGATGACTCTCACCCAGAGTGAGAAGGCAAACCTTGACCTTGGCAGCCAGAAGATGATCTGGGCGGCCCCACGCACCCTAAAGCCTTAATCTCTTAAGCATCAGGGGCGTAAACAGCAACCCGGTGGAAGCTGAAAGCCTTTTTTTTTTTTTTAAAGAATTGTGTATTGAATTGTATCTATTATTATTATATTATTATTATTATTTTAATCTGTCTTAGGGTACGTGCACTTACCAGAGGGCAACAGAAAGAGAGAAAGAGAGGGTAAGTGGGAAGGCAAGCCTTCTGGTCTGGGACTCGAACCATGGTCTTCCATGTGGAAGTCCAGTGCCTGAACCACCACACCACCTCCTGGTCCTTGAAGCGAAAATCTTTTATGATATGGAGTTCTAGCATACAGAGCTCTAAAATAAGCCCACATGAAGCAGCCGGCCTGCTTGTCACCTGCACACATGAGCCAGCCTCTGACATGAGGAACTGTGGAAGCACAGCTGTCTCACGCCCGCCAGCCTACTCACACAGATCCTTCTCTTACCTAATGATGACGCACTGGTTCTCCCTGTCGATGATCATGTTTCTGTACATGTTATCTGCCAGGGCGTAGATGTGTGGTGGGTTTTCATATTGTGCCTACAAAAGCAAAAAACGAAAAACACACAACCGTGGTCAGATACAGGGACACATTACACGCTTTACTAGGCCCTGAAAATGAATTCACCACTGTGGTTCTAACATCATAAACACCGCATGATACGAGAATTCATCCAATTTCCTAGGTCATAAAGAGTCACACCCTAACAAAATCGAGATGGGACTTGGAAGGACTCTCCTGTGGGCATACGTGTGATTCAGCCCTCAGACATGACCTTCGCCTTCAGAGACTCCGGCACCACACCCTTCCAGCCCAACACGCCTCTGCAGACGGCATTCCACTTCTAAGTGTGTCTGAAGACACTTGGGTAACAGGTCTTCCAAGAGGCCTACCACAAACCTGCATCTGCCTTCTACAAAAATTCTAAATTCCTATGTAATTTCTTCTAAGAGGAAAGTTGTGGGTTCAGGGATCTCAGAAGGAATTAAATGAGACTATTCCAAAATGAGAAAAAGAAACTAAATTTTCCCTAAGAGGGCAGGAGGAGTAGTGTGTGTGTGTGTGTGTGTGTGTGTGTGTGTGTGTGTTAAGGGATAAACTGGTTGGGCCAGTTTGCTTCAATCTTAATTAGGGGAAAAAATTCTGCCCCACCAAAGGTATCTTCCTGGGATTGACATGTAGTCTCATAGAATATCTTAGCTATGCATAAATATGGAACCAAATATGTTCTCTATACCTAATAAATTCACCGTCTGGGCCCAAGTTTAATTGATTTATTTAATTTGCTTTATTTAATTTCTTGACACCTACCTCCCACACTCACTCAAAATCACTAAAAAAGAAAACTGGTTCATGTGGTGTATGTGTGGGGAAAGAACACTCCTGAAATGGAAGGTTATTCAACCTAAGAGAGTGAAAAGGACACCAGGTCCAGAATGAAAAGACGTTGGGAACTGCCTGTTCACTGGCCCCATCTCTGAAGTGGGGGTAAGAATGCCGGGCTGCAAGGTCTCACGGGGAGCTGGGGTGATGGGGGAAAGGTAGAGCTGTGTGCTAAGGAGAGGCATGACCTGCATAAAGCATCTTTCTGCTTCATGATGCAGCAATGGGCCTGGCTCGGAAACTGCCCCCGAGTTCTGTCACACCAGGGTGGACAGGGGGCTTGGGTGCTCCCACACGGTAGGCACTGGTGTGTGCAGTGCCCCGTGACCCCCTGTGCTGTGGGCTGGAGGCTCACAGGGAACCGCCAGGGAGGGTGGAAGGCCTGACAGGGACCAGAAAAACATGTTTCTACCTTATGGTCGGATGGGTATATGGGTGGGACCACAGGATTCAGTCTTAGATGGACTGCTTCTATCCCAGACACAGGAGGTAATTTTTTTCTTTTCTTTTTTTTTCTTTTTACTATAGGGCTTTTGCACTGCTCACCAGGGAATGGAGAAGGATAAGAATGCACCCCTTTATGCACCCCAGGGGAGGATGGCCACTCCGAAATCCCTTCTCCTCCATTTTTCTACTGGGATTGCGGGCACCCATCTTTATCAAGCTGCCGGGTCCGGGAGTGGAACCCCATAGTCAGCCATGTGGGATCCAGTCGCCTTAACCCCCATGCCACCAGCTGACCTGAACAGGGAGTAATTTTTTTTTTTTTAGGTTTCAATATTTTATTCAAGTTTTATTTTAAATGATGTTAATTAGAACATTTGAAGAAGGGTACACAGGGGGTACTTTTAATGTCTCTTTGAAAACAGGGAAGTAGAGGCTTAAAGGAAAGAAAAGCGGATGGGAAATAGAAGGAAATGGAGCTGACAGGAAACTATGGACAAAGTCATTGGCCAATGGCACTTCGACATGGCTTAACGACATCACACCGGACCTTGGCACGTCGCTCTGTGCTTTTCACACTGGCTTCCATCTGTGGTCTCAGTGAGCCGGTCAGTTACCTGGGAGAACTACGGAGCAGGCAGTTCCTCTACTTCATTCCTCCCTCCCTGAGAGCCTGAAAGCCATTACAAACGGACTTCGAGTCCTAGCCCCGCCACTCAGCAGAATCTCGGGGCCTCAGTTTCCCCCTCCGTGAAATGAGGCAGGCAGTAATGCACAGCTAGCATGTCACACAAGTGTCACCACACAGGGCACTCAATAAATACCAGTTTTACAACACTCTGTTACCATTCAGTGAAAATAAGCATACTCTGAAAAATTCTACACTGCTTTAAAGAAAGCTCTTCGAAAGATGAATGTTCTAGAAGAGCCTGGTGTGCACCAGTCCTTTTCAGAGACTGGAAAGAAACCAGCATGCACTGCCCTTCCATCCACCACACTCGGCTGTCACCGAGCCGTGGAGCCAGCTCTGCGCCTGCTGCCCCGGGGCCCTGCGGATCCGGGCGCCAGGGCAGGGCCCCGCCCCTGCTGACAGTGCCTCCCTTGTGCTGGGCTCCCATAAAGGCAGCATTATCAAAGGTCTCTCGCGTGGCAGCCTCCTTCGGCTCCAGCGACCAGCACCATTCATCTGGCAACAATGGGGTGGGCTCTTGCTCCGAGTAAATTGCCTTCCACTTCAACTGATGAATCTGTGTGGGCGCCCTTCTGTTTGTTTTCCAGGGGTCAGGATTAAAGAATACTCTGTGCTTCTGCTGAGAAGAAACGAGGGGAGGAAGAGGGAAGGAGAAAGATGCAGCTATGGGGAGGCCTGGGGAAGCGATGAGCACAGGGGGGAAAATAAGAAAGAGGGTTGCGGTTTCTATTTCTATCACATAGCTGCAATGACAGGGAGTGGAGTGGAGGGTCACATTAATAAATGAAGTGACAGAAGATTCCTCTTTCATGTTCCAGTGAAAGCCACCACTGAACCAAGGTGCAGATTCTGAGAGATGGTGTCCACTGCCTTATTAATTAGTTTTTAAAAATATTTTTTAAGAGAGATTTTGGCTATAGGGCATGTGTACTCACCAGAGAGACAGAGACAAAAAGTGAGAAATCACCCCACAGGGGGGGATGGCCATGCCGCAACCCCCTCTCCTCTCGTGATTTTGGGCACGCACGCACACGCGCCCGCCCAGTTTTTAAGCTGCTGGGTCTAGGACTTGAACAGCTGTTGACTACATGGGATTCCAGTGACTTGACTACATGGGATTCCAGTGACGTAACCACGTAGTACACCATCTGCTGATCCAGCCTTATTTATTCTTTACCTGCTACTGATGTTTATTCCTTGGAATTTTGTGGCATATGTGGAAGCAGGAGGCCCTACATCCCTGTTAACAAATTTTGTATATAAATAAGGCTCAATTATTAGATAGTCCTATGCGTTTTTGAACTGCATTCTACAGAGAGGAACATTATTAAAAAAATCAAACAATGTTACTTGAGCATCCCCAGTAAATAATTCATAATAAAATGCAAATGTATTGTAACTTAAGAAAAACGAGGGGAACACCACAAACGCCCGAAGCGCTGCCATAATTTACAGAGCACAGGACTTACCGCTCCTTGGTACATCTCAATTTCCTTTTCCCCAAAATACGGCATCTGCTTAAAAGGGTTGACTGAAATTAACACGGATCCTATGTATGTCTGGATTTAAACCCAGTTAAGGTCCATCGTGAATCTTCGTGGCTACACGCTGTTCAGATTAGGTAGTCAGATGTGATCATCAACTCGTAATAACTGTCCAAAAGGAAAGAACATGTCCTTGTCTTCTAGAAGACTGCAAATCAAGTCAAAAGCAGTTTTTCAACCTGCTCAGCCTTTGTTTCTCAAGAAGAAGAATGAGTTTGATTACCAGGTGCTACAAAAAGAGAACGTTATTTTAAATGAATTAAAGAACATCTTTTCAAGACTGTACCAGGAGAAAACAAACAGAAATGGCCAAGGAGTGAAAAGAGTAGGTATCTTTTCTCTCAAGTGGTTGGTATTTTTCCCTTGGAACTTACACACACACACACACACACACACACACACACACACACACACACACAGAGTTTATAAAATATAAACTTTCTTTTTTTAATTTGCCAGAAGGTGCATGCGCTAACCAGAAAGAGACAGAGAGAGAAGAGATTGAGACAGCACTCCCCTGGGGAGTGCCACAATCCCTCCTCCTCCACTTCTCCACCCTGTGGGGACTTGGGGCATGGGCGCACACGGGCCTGGTGTGTTTTCCAAGCCACTGGGGGCAGGATGCAAACTGCGTTGTTGGCCATGAGGATTCCGACTCTGTTAACCTCCAGGTGACAGGGCCAGTCCTAAAACATTTTCATATACTCATTTAACACATTAGAGACATAAGATCAATTGAACTGTTTGTCTGTGCCCCAGAAACTTAGCGGAATTGAACAGCATCCATAAGACCATATTCAAAGAAAATGACAAACCCACATAGGTCAGATTTAGGGGGAAAAAGTTATTGTTCCATATGAGAAGTACAGGAGGGTCTCTCAGAGAGGATGTGTTTATGCTGGGCCTTAAAAGGTTTTTTGTTGTTGTTAGTTTTTGAGAGGTTTTTGCTATAGGGCGCGTGCACTTGCCAGACAGACAGAGAGACAGAAAGCGAGAAATCACCCCCCAGGGGGGATAGCCACGCTGCAATCCCTTCTCCTCCGTTCTCCTCTCGGGATCTTGGGCACGCACACACATGCGCCTGGCGTGAGTTTTAAGCCACCCGGTCCGGGACGCGAACCGCGGTCGACTATGTGGGAGTCCAGCGACATAGCCATTACGCTAACTGCTGGTCCCTAAACATTTTGACACAATGCATTTTAATGTGTCCAAATAAAAGGTTGTTCTAACACTATAAAAACCCTTTAGATAAAACAAACTCCTTGCCCACCTGGAGGGAAAAAGTAGTCAAAACAACAAAAACAAAAAATATATACATATTTAGAAATGTTTCTTTTAATCATTCACTTCCCAATGTTTAGAAGTTTTATGATTCAAAAAGTAAAACTGGGGGCTGGCAGGTGGTGTAGTGGTTAAGGTGCTGGATTCCCATATGGCCGACTATGGTTTGAGTCCTGGATCTGGGGGGTAGCTTTCTTGCTTTCTCTCTCTCTCTCTTTCTCTGTGTGTGTCTCTCTCTGATCAAATTAAAAATCATAATAATGAATAAAATAAATAATTTTTTAAAAAAAGGTAAAACTGAGCTGGTTCCATATCTCAGTGGTTAAGGAAGTTGGATCTCACATAACCTACAGTGGTTCTAATCCTGGCCTGGCTTCAAAAATACGCCGGGTGCATGTGTGGGTGCATGTGCCCCAAATCCTGACACAACCATGCTGCACTAGGCGGTACTTTCTCTTTCTCTCTCCTTCTCTCTCTGGCAAGTGCACACACCCTCAGGCAATTAAAAACAAAACAAAATAAAAAAAAAAAAGAGAGAGAGATCTTCTCTCCCAAGAAAACACATATTTACATATTAGGACATAGGTGTCAATTCCAGCAGCCCAAGGGTGTCTAGTCAGATTGCCCGTTTCCTTAAACCCAGTTCCACTCTGACTGTGGGTAAGTCACACCTCCAGGCCCTGCTTAATGGATGATAGAGGTGAAAACAGGACCTACTTCCTAGCCTCGCTGTGAGAACTAAATAAAATCGTCGAGATCAAATGCTCAATGCATTATCGCTATTTTATTAATATCCTCTAAGATATACATTTTGTCATGCTAATGTCTCTGAAATGATGACACATACTTTTTTGGGGGGGGGAGATTTTTGCTATAGGGCACGTGCGCTTGCCAGAAAGACAAGAGACAGGGAGAGAGAAAGCAAGAAATCAACCCTAGGGGGGATGGCCATGCTGCAATTCCTTCCTTCTCTTCTATTCTCCTCTCGGGATCTTGGGCACGCACGCACACATGCCTGGTGTGAGTTTAAGCCGCCAGGTCCGGGACTTGAACTGCGATCAACTACATGGGAATCCAGCAACAAAGCCATTATACCAACTGCTGATCCCGACACATAATTTTTTAAAGGATTATTTTATTTAACTTTATTTATTTTAATTTGACCAGAGAGGGACAGAGTGAGGAGAGAGAGAGAAAGAAACCAAGCCACCAGGTCTGGGAATCGAACCATGGTCGGCCATGTGGGAGTACAGAGTCCTTAACCACCATGCCACCTGCCAGCCCTGACATATAATTTTTTAAAAGTTCATTTATTTTTACTTATAAGGCAGAGTACATGAGTACATAAGGGAGAGGGGCACACTTCCCAGCGAGGCCTGGTCAAGCTACAATCCTTCTCCCGCCAATTCTCCATTTGTACAGAATCCTGGGAACATGAACGAGGCATAAAGCCAGCAGGGCTGGGATTCAAACCCCAGTCAGTCTTGTGGGATCTGGCTTCCTCTATGCTGCACCTAACTTCTGTACCACAGAGCCAGTCCCATGATACACATTCCATCTGTGGCTTCTTAATTTGGATGAGATGCAGCATTATTATTATTACTGAATATGGATGGATTACTCATTTTTTTGACCAGAGAACACATATACCTATACTCACCAGAGAGAGACAAAGAGAACACACCCCTAAATGGAGTAAGGTCCTGCTGCAATCCTTTCTCCTCCATTTCCCCATCTTATTGGGGTCTGGGGCACACACATACACAGACATACACCCACTGTGGTACTCAAGCCAGTGGGGCTGAGACTCAAACCATGGCTGACCTTGTGTGATCTGGCTCCCTTAACTTACTAGGCCATGGGCTGGTCCATGGATTTGTACTTTTTCCTTTTAAAGATTTTTTTTCTGGGACCAGCAGATGGCGTAATGGTTACATCACTGGACTCCCACACGGCCAACCGCAGTTCGAGTCCTGGATCCAGGAGCTTGAGCCTCATGCCAGGTGCGTCTAAAATCCCAAGAGAAAGACGGAGAAGGGTTTGCAGTGTGGCCATCCCCCTATGAGAAAGCAAAGTAATTGAAAGCAATTTCTTGCTGTCTCTCTGTCTCTCCAGTGAGCACACACACCCAATAGCAAAAATCACTCTTTAAAAAAAAAAAAAAGATTTCTGCCACAGGAACATGTGCTCACCAGAGAGACAGAAAGAAAGAGGATAAGTCAGAAATCACTCCCCCCCAGGGGGGGATGGTTACACCGACATTTCTTCTCCTCCCTGTCTTTTTGGGATTTCGAACATGCACGCACTCGTGTCTGGTGTGTTTTTCACACTGTCAGGTCCAGGACTTGAACTGCAGAGTCAGCCATAAGGAGTCCAGTGCCCTAACCACCACAGTGCCTGCTGGTCCATGAGTCAATACTTAAAAAAAAAAAAAAAAAAGTATGCATACACGAAGGTGAGAATGCAGAACGACGTGGTCACTGCTTGCTTCCTCTGTCACTGAGCAGAAACGTCCTCAGACCTGAAAGTTCTGCACACTGAGTAAGAGGTGTTCTTAGAGCACATCCGACATTCATTCCCAAGTACTGTCTGGGGCAGCCCACGTGCTCAGAGAGGGTGTCGATGAGCCAGTGAATCCCCACTGGAAATCACTACAGAGTTAGGAAGGAGGACCAGGAGCCTGAGATCGGCAAATGTTTTTCCAGTTGTCAAAGTCAGGTGAGACCAATGGTAGACTGGTGGCCTACTTTTTCTTCTTAAGGTAAAATTTAGAACAGATGAACAAACATACTAATATTCAGCCGATAAGAGGTGCCCATGATGCTGGAGCCAAGATTCAGTACACAGTGATGAAAACTAATCGAACATAAGCACAGTTACATGGTACTCATCTAAGCAGCCCACAGAACAGCTACGATTAGTAATCCTAAGTCATTACAGGGAAACTGAGGCATAGAGAAATTGAATAAATGTAGTCTACTTAGTGAAAAAGCAAGAGTTCAGGTGATCTCCTTATATAGCACATTATTAATAGTATAAACAAATAAATAGGCCCCAAGTCACATGCTTGCTAGCATTCAAACCCAGCCAGCCTGACTGCAGTGTCTACAACTCTAATTCATCAAGCTATAATGTCTTTCTAAGACTGGCAGGTATTGCTTCTGCTATTAATAATATTATCATTATTTTAAAATTTAAAATTTTAAAAAATTATTTTATTTAACTTTTATTATTATTATTATTTTCCAGTTTGGTCAGAGAGAGTGTTAGAAAGCAAGCCTCTAGGTCTGGGATCTGAACCACGGTGAGCCATGTGGGAGTCCAGCCCTTAACCACCAAGCCACCTGCCGGCTCCTATTAGGAGACTTTCTGCATTTAGCAAATACAGACACAGAAAATCTAGCTAAATTTAAAGGTCAGATAAGTGCTGAATAATATCTGTAGTATAAACTGTGTCCTAAGTAAGTATGATCCTCACACAGTATTTGGGACACACATACACTAAAAAGTTACTTGTTGATCTGGAATTCGAATTTAGCCAGGCACCTTTATCTTATCAGGCTCCCCTAAATCGGCAGCGTAGGATTTAATGCAGGGCAGAGGGGCTTGGATCAACAGCCCTGTGGGCTCTTCTAACAGATTTTTTTATTTTTATAAGGATTTTTTTTAGGGTGCATGTGTTCATCAGAGAAGACAGGGACAGAAAGAGGGAAAGTCAGAAATCACCCACAGGG